AAAAATCATGAAATTTTGTCTAAGTATTCTTCTGACCTAGAAAAACCTTCAATAATTTTCCCATAAATTAAAACTTCATTTTGTTTAGATAATTAAATTAACATTAAAATATCCTATTTTTGGGTTAAAATAATTATTTTAAATTAAATTAAATGTTGAAAAATCACTTTCCCCCCACCCCCTAATATTTTAATTAATCCATGAATGGGATACTCAAAGATTTTCAAAGCTATTGTAATTTTGCTTGAAAAATTATAAGATGAAGAGCCCCAAGGGCAGGATAGTAATTTTGGGCTTTGGTGCCTTAATCAAAATTTAAGATTAACCATTAGGGATGAGAAATTTGATCATTAATAAACATATTGGATGATTGAAATGCAATGGGTTAAAGGTAGAAACTCACTTACCACATTTTCACAATATCAACAAAATCATAATTTCCCTAATCATCATAACTTGGAAACTTGGAAGTCAATTAAGCAATTAAGATCAAATGATTCTTAAGTGATGGGCTTAAGCCAGGTAGATGATAATTCACTTATCTTAAGCCTAAAATTGATGATGATGTGATCTTTCAATAAGAATATATGTCACTTAATTCAAAATTCTAACCACAAAAAATTTTCCCCATTATGATTGTTAAGGGCTTAATAGTGACATGGGCTCAATGTCTAAACTCAATTGATTGGATCTAGAAGATAATACGATTGGGGATTAACATAATTTAAACACTCCAAGCCCATTTTTTATGGCATTAAATCTTTAATGACTAGAGCTTGCCTCAGAGGCATTCATCCATATAATCTTTAAAGTAAACTATCAAATTGATTAAGTATCCTATCCTTGAGATAATAGAATTGTCAAGTTTCAGGCTACAAGGTAGTCGCACTCTAACTTCGGATGATTAATGAAATAATATGATAAGTTCAAAAATGAACTCAAAATAATTCAATACAAAATAATTAATGAACTCAAAATAATTCAATAGATCTTCAAAGTAGTTCAGGTTCATAACCCGAGCACTTTGAAATCTTTTGGATATTTTGAAGGACAAGTTCAACTTGTCATATTTTGTCCTAGAATCATCCACTAAGAACTTTTGGGGCACAATAGAGTCATGCCTTTGGGGTTTGTTAGATGTACCTTCATCTACGCCTACAATTTAAATTCTTTGCAAAATTATATACATGTCTTGCAAGTAGTAACCTTTCAGGTGGAGGAACGAGAAGAATCGACAGGTACACTTTTTAAATTACGGCGGTTACCTTTCTGTACTTCTTGCTTCAAAATTGCATGTTAAACAATGATGTCACCCTACATGAAAACCAAAACTGTTATGATAGCCGCAAAACCAAAAAAAATTAAAAATTAAACAAGATAAAATTCATCGCCATAACATTCAAAATATAAGGCAACTCAGCAACTCAAAATTAACATCACAAAACAAAAACTGTAATTAAATTAAGATGTCTATATCGGATGTCTATATCGGATGATCGGGATGATCGAGAATCCCTCGGAGGAGGTAACCTGCGGTTGCTAACGAGACTTCCCATAGTCTAAATGTAAGTATGAAACTTATTGAGTTGAGTTTAGTAAATTCATTTAGACTAAGTGAATTTGAAAGAAAATAGTGCTACCGAAACGAGGGAACCGTAGAATCCTAACCAGTGTCATTCTAATCAACTTTAACATGCCCCATAATATTTAAGGAACCATGAACCTTAGGGACATTTGATTTGACATCATGACTTGACACATTAGAAAACTTAAACTCACCACGACGAGGAGCTTGGAGCTAGCATTGTGGGCACCACAACCATCTTCAACAACAAAACATGTCTACACCAGCTAAACCATTCTTTCCTTAGAATTAAAGAACAAGCCAGGAATTCAAAATTTTCCACCTAGTGCGGCATAAATCTTCAACTTATCTTTAGGTTTTTGTATAGCTCTATTACACAATATAAGCCCTAACTCGTTTTAGGACTCCGAGATTGTCGTTCGTCACGACTTAAATCCTCACATCTTCCAGAGTATTTGTGTGATTGTTTCACATGAATGTAAGCCCTAATTAATAAAATTTGCAGGATGAAACATTTACATATTTCTCCCCTAAACTGAAGCAAAACCATGGGTAGCTTGGGAAGTCACCGAGGTTCTCCTCCATATCCATGACATCCCCTAGTCTCTCCTCCTTTGAATTCTACATTAAGTGTTCCAAATTTGAGTCATCCCCTTTTCACACCTCTTTATCTGATCTCGTTAAAAAGCCCTATCCTTTGAATTTTTCGAAGATAATATCCCATGATTTTTATTGAGAGTTTTCTTAGGTGACTTCAGTCATCTAAGATGTAATTAACTATCGGTGCTTGCCCTTATAGGAAGCTTTTCCAAACCCAGCTTAATAGAAATTCTATTTAATTTTTTATATTAAATAGGAGAACTTGTCGGCTTATAATAAAATGGTTTTTATACCAAACGAATGTCATATGTTTCTTAGTTTATTTGATCGAGTCTTACCCTCAAGTCTTGTGTTTATCTTTCAGGATAAATACGTAGCTTGAGGTGTAGTGTTCTTTCATTTAAACTATGAAATATATGGAATCAGTTTGATTTCATATTTTTTTAAATATATATATACATTAAAAATGTCTTTCCGAAGTGGACGACAGGATTTCGATTCCAGCGACTGACATCTTTCAACAAGCAACTCCTCAACCAAAATAGTGCTAACAATTATACTGAAATTTGTTGTAATTCCTTGAAAACATGCATACTCCTAGCTTAAAGGATAAAAACTCATATTGCATCTCCCTCTTAATCTCTTAGGTCCATTAAAAATCTTTGAATCCCTATGTCCCTTAGGCATTTTGAAGGACTTCTATTTAGCTTAAAAGTGGTACTTTTCAATTTATTATCATTGTTTGCCAATTTTTCTATTAAATTTAAGACTTCCAATTCAGATATTGTTACATAGAACACAAATAAATGTTTTAAGCAAGTTTATTTTTCCTCATGCTTCCATGTATTTTATCAAGCAGGAAAATTTTCTACTTACAATCCAGAGGCTTCTATAGGTAATTATTAATTATTTCCATGATAATCATTAATAGTATATCAAAATTTTTAGTCGAAATGACACTATTCAGGCATTTATTATAAGCTTTCCATCTCTATAGAAATAGAAATTCAACCAACATTTTATTTTTTTCATAAAAGATGGTGCTTGCTTCAATTTGAGTTTTAGAACACAACATTTAGAGTCATGCAATATTTGATGCATGCACCTCTCTATTGAACCGAAACATAAATCTTAGCGGTGAACTTTACTAAAGTTAAATTTATAAGTCAAAATAATGAAAATTAAAATTTAAGAGATAGAAATGCTCTTCTTTCTTTCAAAGAATGGTTGTTGAAATACATGAAGCCTTAATGAAAATATGTTAAATTTTGAGATGGGACGCACATTAAAATTTAAATCTTTTATCTTGTATCATCACATAAAGTATATAAAAGTTATAATAATGAAAGCATGATGAAAAAAATAAATAATATGTGGGATATGTTTATGCTTGCTAAATTTATCCCCATCTCACCCGTTCTAAGTTAGCATAAATTATGAAAGAGTTATACTATTGAAGCTTTTGTAAGTATTTTTTTTATTTTTGTATTAGAAATATACATTTTTATTGATTTCTTTTACTCATATGATTATCAGTAGACGTTTATAATTGTTTGATAGCATTGTATTAAAAATAAACTTGTGGTGAATGGTTTAAAAAATTTTGAGCAATTGGCTCCCTCTTATGTGAACTTTGACAAGTTACTCACGAAATAAAACTCTATGCTTTATTTTATTCCTGAATGAAGCATACTTACTTATATGGTTATATTTCTATATTTATAGTTCATGATGGTGCTATTTTAATTCTCTATTAATCCATTTCTTACATTCATAAGCTTGGCCAACATCTTTTTTTTTTCACAATGGATAAGTTTCATTTATAGTATACCATCATTTAATCATATGTTTAGTTCACACGCCTTCATCTATATATGCGTTGAATGAACTAATTTCACGGAATATGTGAGTATTATACACTGATAGTTAGGAAACTAACCAAACTTCACTTCATAATCCCTTCATAACTAAATATTGTGAGGCATCTTCCCCTCATGTTCTCACCCCATCACCGCCAATTTTCATTACTAATCATTTTGGTATTAGAGGTAAATTAAATTCATCTTATTAGACATAATCAAATCTTAATGGCTCTCTCTCTCTTCATAGTTATTTCTTCATTTAGTTTTGGCTCCATCAATTTGAGTTATAAGATGTAGAATGTTTTGTGCATTTTAACTAGTAGAATTAGCATACTTTATCTTATCAAAAGTTTGATGATTTATTAGTGAATACTATTTCGTAAATTACTTTAGTCATGAAAATAACATGAAATTTTCTGTTCATCATAATTCTTTTCTATTTTCATTGTTTACGATGTTATTAGCACCATCATTTACAAATTTTTTTTCTTCATATCGTGTCGTTACTTTCTATCTGCTCCGTGAATTAATTACATATAAACAGCAGATATTCCCTGGCTTAATTATGTTTATTGGGTAAGACATAAACAGCAGGAACATGCACAGCCTCGTTCTGATTTTGGGCTCAAATAATACAGCTTAAAATATTTTCAGTTGCAGTTGTTTGAAACTTTCTTACCTCCTACACTGCAAATTTTATTCTTTTTTGGTTTAACTTAGTTCTAAACTTCTTTGTTATATATAATGCTTAGAAGAGACATGAAATGATATTGCATATTGAATTCATATGTTGCTTTTGCCTATCAATACAAGAACAGATATGCCTCATTTGATTACTAGCAAATTTTGCTGATTTTGAAATCAATATTAATGTCTGATTTTATCCAATTAAATGATAGATTTGACAAACACAAATACACAATCATTTTTTTTTTCAGAAATTGTATGCCTTGCTCTGTCCTATTGTAGAAGCCCATATTTCTATCAGAATTATAACCCTGTACAATAAAATCCCAATGTTCTATAAAAAGAAGATAAAACATTTTCATGAAAGTGGCCCTACAAAAAAATTAAGAAAAAAGTCATCCACATCAACAACCCTACCAACTACTAAGAACGAAACCATAACCCAAACCAGACTGAGCATCCCTTCTTCATTTTCTGGGAGGACAGAAAGTTATTACATAATGAGACGCCTTACATCTATTCAAACTTGTTGGATCATCATATGCAAAACTGTAAGCCCTCGGACATATAGCCTTGAACAGATGCGAAAAAAGAGTTGGCTTGCAAGTCATCGGCGACCCGAACTCCCCAGTACAGCAGTACTTATCCGTCTGAAGAGCCAAGCACGCACTTTTGCATCCAACAATCTTTCCTTCCATCCTGACTTCAAACTTCGAAGGGCAGCACACATTCAGGTTCACCTCGCAGCCGGCGGTGCCGCATCCCACTCCACCGCCGACGGGCGCCATGGTCACCGGAAGATTGAATCCATCGACCAAGCTGACGTCGTAGTAATGGAGAGGAGACTGGGGAGTTCCAAATGTCATTTCCACCACTGTGACTGGTGGCATTCCAGCACTACCTTTGCAATACAGAAGGCCACTGCAGTCACCAGTTTGGCAGAATCCCTTTCCTTGTTCGTCAAAACAGCAGCCTTGGCGACCCCATATCCTTCCGGACCAGCCATTGGGCACGTAGAAGGCCATCTCTTCTCCTACGCCGAGATGAAAGCCTCCATTCTGAGGAGATATATTGCCTGCACTGCCTTGTGTGCCTGGCCAGATGCTGCTGTTGCAGTTGTTTACCACTATGAGTTGGACCTCATCTGCGGGTACGAGAACAAGGAAGAGGTAATTCGGGTAAAAATGTCAAAAATGTAAACAATTTCACATTTTTAATGTATTTTTTTCTCTTAAACTTACGAGTCTGTGAAATACAGAGGAAGAGGCAGAAGATGAAGAAGAAGACGCGGAGCTTGGGAACCGCCTCCATGTTTGTTTGTGTCTCTCTGTTATGTGTTGATGGGGGTTTTATAACGGTGTCAAGGGAGTGGGGCAGAAGGGGGAGAAGTAGAGCCCAACAATCTCGTTACCCATCGTGTTCTGTAACCGTCTCCTTAACTGTTTACAGAAGCAGACTATTCGGTTCCCAGTTGCTATTTGCCTATTTTTTTACAAATTTGCATCTTTCTTCTCCTTGTAATGTTGGCATTAGTATATATTCTTTGCTTGTGGTTGGATTGGCTTCCTAAGCAAAACTCAATTTTTGAATCATAATGAATATTTCTGAAAGCAAAAGAACCTCTCTCAATGGCTTTAGCAATTTTTTTAGATTTGTTGCTAACGGCTTTTTCTTTAACATGCCATTCAGAAGAAGAAAGGATATCAAGCGGCTCTTCCTAGCCTATTGGCTTTTGGATGTTTTATTATGAGGGTAGAGAACTAGTTAGAAAAAAAAAAGGGAAATTAATAAACATTGTGGACATTATCGAACCTAAAAATGTATGTCTAAAAGGTTGCTTATAGAGCAACTATATTTTGTTATGTTCTCTAATACAAATATTGAAATAGATTGGTAAGCTTTAATTTGGCCAATTAAAAAACTAAGTTAATTTGATTATCCTAAGTTTAATTAATTGGTTTTAAGAAATAGTTTTATCATAGTACTTGACAGCTAAATATGTATTTGTTGGAGCGTCTAATTTGATGCATCCGATCAAAAGCATCTTCATGGCTTAGAATACCCAGGTGAATATATCAAACCCTATATATTAAATCCTATGTAAGCATGACATTGTAGTTCGTTCTCATAAGCCTGTGACATATAGGTACTTGACCAAATGATTTGAAACCTGTGGAATCGCCGCCTCGCTTGAACATATCTCTAAATGATTCATGGTTTTTATTATGTTGCACAGCCATGCTAACCCCAGTAAAAATAGTTTTACTTTTTTATTTTTTTTATTTTTTTATATATGTATTTGTCGAATCTAATCAATTAAACAAATATATGCCATGCATTTCATATTGAGTCAATTCCTTTCAGATTGTTCTAATTGGTTACAACCGGGCATACTTTGTGAAGAATATCGCCATAATGCTCAGTTTGAGATATTCTTAAGCGCTGGAGAAAAGTGCAACAATTTTAGAAAATTTGACTAATTAAGAAAAAATCCAACAAAATGTATTATGTGATAATGAACAATATTTATTTAAATTTAATTAAATAATAATAATAATAATATTTATTAAAATTAAGTTGTAAAAAATTTTTTATGAAACGCTATAAGAAATTATTACTATAATGTTGAAAAAAAAGGGACTCTTAACTATATCATTCCTTTTAACAAGAAAAATTTACTATCTACTAAAAATATTCTCTTTTGATTTTATTTTGTTTGGCTGCCCCAAAAGATTAGATCGAGATTTTAGTGACAACTTATTTCTTATACTCAACTGGGATTCACTACATGGTTACACTGAGTTGTATGCTTTTAAATCAAGTCATGGTCAATCTAAAGTAAAAGCAATTGATCATTTTAGATCACGACATACTGACAAATTTAGAACTCGCTCCCAACACTTAGCAGTACAACTCTCCTAGTTTCATCATAAGGTATCCTTCATCACTTATAGAGTTGCATTAGAGTAATATTCAGTAAGGATTACAACAACCATTCGGCGTCTAAGATATCATGTTCCCCATATTAGGAGCCCACTGTTGACAAGATGCTTAAGCAAGTTGAAACTGATGTTCCCTCTTTAATTAATAGGATAACTACTACTACCATGGCTTTCACTATAGAAGGCGCTTTTGGCTATTCAATTTTTTGTGATAGATTTTTACTTGGAAGGGATCAGTTGAGTTGTAATTGAAGGATATGCTAAATCAAGTGAAATTATCCATATTCTATTAATAGCTAGTCAATACATTTACACTTTGGTGTTGATTTCTATTTCATTCACTCTTCCTTACATTCTTTAATGCATATAGTAATAATTAAAGCTAATATTTTACTAGCAAGGTAAACTTGTTAAAAGGCCTTACTTCCATATTTAATTCCTTTTATGCATGAATCTAGGAAAGATTTTTATCATTCTTTCTACAAATTTAACTCTTCCCATTCATACATTTTAAGTTTTCTCTTTGAGCTAAATTTGGACTGGTCAAAAGATTAATCGAATCACTATTACGCCATCTTCCCACTATTGCATCAACTCTTATAAGTGGGATAAAAATAAACTTTTTCATTTGTTGTAGAATTTATTAATCATAAACTTGATGTAATTTTCATAGTTATTATGGAAAATAGATATATTTGTAAGAATTGTTGTCTAACCAGTAGTGTCTAAGACCATTTCCATGACTTCAACCTAATTAATATCACTCTAATAGTGTGTATAATAATGAAGGAAAGATGAATTAGGTTGTGACTTTAAAAAAATGGATAACTTGGTTTGTAAGAAAATATTATTTTTATATATGTTTAAAATTGAAATCTATTAACAAGATACAATATAATATTTCTTTATAAAAATAATTTAGAAATTGATTGTGCCAAATTGTCTCAAAGAAAAAAACATGTATGGTAAAGATTTTTTTGTCTTGTTTAATTAGTTATATGACAAAATGCTTCAAAAAATAGGAACTGTTTAATCCAATACATAATCACTATCTAAATCAACTTTTGATAAAAATCAAAAGAAAGTTCATTATCTCACAATAAGTCAATTATCTCACAATAAGATAAGAGTATTTAAATAAATTAATTAAAGAAAAAAATTATAGTGCAAACATAAAAGTAAAACAAATGCAAACTAATTAATCACAATTCAACACTAATTTCTACTTCCAAGCCTTGATTTTTTTTGTCAAGGTTTGCGCTCCTCTTTATTTTTTTCACAACAAGGTAGAGGAACCATTCTTCTTGACATGTAAAGAAGGCACTCTATGTCCTTCTTCTTTCTCATAGTAAGAAGAATGTTACTCTAGCTAATTTGTTAATGATATTAAATTTGTTTGGAATAATTTGAGTCAAACAGTCCTAAAAAAAATAAAATTACAGCTTTAAGATAGGCATATTTTCAATTTAAGAATTTATTAAGTTGATAGAGGAAGAAAAAAATGAAAAATGAAAAAGTTAATGGAAGACCAATTATAGTCGAGATTGGATGCAATGACCTGTGGGTGATTACTAATATTTGATATATGGAGATATTTATAAAAACCTTGTTCATCGATATTGAATTTCATCTTGAATACCTTTAATATAATAGTTTTGCAGTTAACATTTATAAGAATTCTATAAAACACTCAACAGGTAGCTAGAAAGATTAAATGAGAGAGGATAAAAACAAAATTTAAGAATGATTCCCACAAAATATCATAAATTGCATATGAAAGGAATTCTTGAATTCCTTACTTGAGCTTGTAGAAAATGCTATCAAGTATATTTCATATGCTACAAATTATTGGTGATATATGATCTTAAATGCCATTATGAACTAGATAATGATGCATTAAAATCATATGGCATCTTACATTTCATGGAAATCAAGTGCTTTCATAAGTGAGACAAACCCAATTCATAATATTAAGAACCTGCCGAGCTCTAACTTGAGTTTATTTTGCTAGCACATGTCCTCTTAATGGATCAAATTGTTCACAACTATGAAAATTTCATATGGTTAGCCATGATTTTCCAAAATGGTTACATCAATTACATATATTTATACCCTAGGATTCCTTTAAACCAATAATTTCTTTGAACTTTAGTTATGGTTTACATCTTCAATCCAAGATGACCTCATCCATTCACCTAGTCATAAATATGGGGTAAGATTGCTAACTGATATCCTATTTGATGCACATATATTTGTAATTTTTGGAGCTTTAGCCAAAAATGTTCATTAACATTTTCTCTTGATCGAACCCTCCTTGTTGCTCCCATGAGCTTCTCCAAGCTCCCTCATTTTATCCCTTATCTCGTAGAGTACTTTAGGTCCTAGGAAGAACAACTTGTGTTGAGCCTATTATACTCTCAAGCAAGCTGCTCACCTAGGTATTCTATGGTTTTAATCTAAAAATAAGTTACCTGTGAGCTCCAAACAAACCTTGAAGAAAACTAATTAGATTTAAACCTAAACAAACCCAAGTATTCCTCATGTTTAATCATTTATAAAATCACTTTTCATAGAAGATATCACATGGTGGATTTATGGTTAATCATAGTTGGTGTAATAGCTCCTCATGGTTCTCAACAACAAACTAAATCATACAATGGTGTAATGCATGCTTCACGTTAGTACTGAGTTGATAAACATAGAAGAAACTATAAAAAAACTTTAAAATTTATAGACTTCAAGAACTAAATGAAATAAAATAAATATCTTAAAAATCTAAGAGAATAAGCTATGAAATACAAAAATAGAATTTAGGAAAATTAATATCTAATATGAACTAATAGAAGATATTAAAAATAAATAAATTTATAATGAATATCATATTAAACTAAATTTCTTAAGAGTGTTTCTTGGTACTCCTAACATTTGAAAATTTTCGTACAAAATATCAATATCAAATTAATGGTATTTGATTTTCTTAACCCTTTATCCAATTTAAGGAAAACAACTAAATTTATATTAATTATAATAAAATTCTGAAATAATATCAAACTGATTTGGGGTATTAGGATCTAGTAGAAAATATTTGAATTATAATAATTATTCTTTATTTCAAGAGATTAATTAATAATTTGTTTAATACAAACATAAAAATTAACTATAAAATCAAAAGGAGCTTAGATCATTACTTAAATATTTAGAATTAAATAAAGTAAGTCAAATAAATATTTAACATTAAAAAGATTAATTAGGTCAATGAAATTAAAATTTTAATTTAAAATAATTAATTTAAATCTTAAAAATCCATAAATTATAAAAAAAATTAAGAAAATTTTTGGAAAGGACAAAGAGTCAATCCAAACATCCATGATAATTTTCATAATTTTTAAATTAATTTGATTTATAAATTTTTATAAAAGTCATTAAAAATAGATAGAAAATTATAAAAACCTCAAATTCCTCAAGGAAAATTTAAGGAATAACATAAAACCTTTAGTGATTTTTATAATTAATAAAATTACTGTAAATTTAAA